AGAAAGGAATTTGGTGGTGTAGGCTACTTTTAATCTGCTGCAAAGGATTGATCATGGGCTCGACAACTGTTGGTTCTGTTGATTCTTCAATTCACGAGGTCCACTTATTGCAAGAAAGGAATCTTGTGGTATAAGCAACTTTCAAACTGCTACAAGGATTAATCATGAGCTCAAAAAGCTATTGGGTCATTTGATTCTTTAATTCACCACGTCACGAGGTCTAGTTGCTGCAAGAAAAGAATCTGGTGGTGTATGCTATTTTAAAGCTACTACAAGGATTGGATGCTTTCAAGCTGTTGTAAGGACAGATAATAAGTTCAAGGACCGTTGGGCTCTTCAATCATTCATTCCACCCGATCATGAGGAGATTTCCATTGACTTCAATATTATAATGTTCGATACTTTAAGTTGTTTTCAAGACTACAATAGGGACCAACTTCTTTAAAATCTTCAATCCACCCTTGTCAAGGTGCATTTGGTTTTTGAAATCTACAATCCACCCTTCTCGAGGTGTGCTTGATTTCTGAAATCTACAATCCACCATTCTTGAAGAACACTTAGAGCATGTTTGGTTATCATCTACAAAACAGTGTTTTGTTTTCAAAATTTTAAAAACACTCAAAACATATTTGTTTAACATTTTTGTTCTCAAATTTTTGAAAAAAAATGAGATTTGAAACACAAAAACAGAAAACAACTAAAACTTATTTTCACAGTTTTCTTTGGAAATTTTGGAAATAAGGAGACAAGTTAAACAAGTAAAATGAGGTCTGCCCTTCGAGTCCCCTTAGCAAAACGTCTTCTTCTTCTTCTTCTTTTTTCTTCCTCTCCCTCTCTCCACTTTGCCCAGCGTCTTCTTTTTTTTTTCCTCTCTCTCTGTGTCTCCACAAAACACAGTCACACACACACATGCACACAGACACACACACAAATGGCTGTTCATCTTCTCCACCGTCTCCACCGACTGTTCATCTTCTCCTCTCTCTTTGTCTCTATGCAACAGATCTGTATGAACACATATTTGTATATATATACAGATCTTTGTTTAGATATGTATATAACAGATCTATGTGTGTGTGTGTATATACACACATATGTATTGTGTGATGTATGTGTGAGTACATATATATCTATGTCTGTGTATATTTATATACATATGTAGTGTGTGATGTATGTGTGAGAATATATCTATATATATATGTGTGTGTGTGTGTATGTGTATACATATATGGTTGTGTGTGTTTTTGCTAGGTGAGAAGGCAATAGAGAGATGGTTGATGTGTGAAGAAATAATGGAGAGAGAGAGAGTTGATGGGTGAGAAGCCGATGGACGTGACTGCCTGTTGTGATAAAGTTTTTTTTTTTATCAAAAGTGATAAGTTAAAAATTGATTTTATGAATTATTGTCCAAACAAGTTTTACTATTTTTTGTTCTTTAAAACTATTTTCAAAAATTTATAACCAAACAGGTTTTACAATCTAACAATTTTTAAAAACACTTTCTTAAAACTCTTTCCAAAAATAATTTTTAAATACTGTTTTTTGAGATACAAATCAAACAGGCCCTTAGTCTTTGAAATCTGCAATTCACTATTTTCAAGGTACGCTTGATCTTTGAAATCTTCAAATTATTGATTGATCTAACTTTTGGAAAGGGATCCATCTAAACAGTCAAGAAATAAGTGATAAGAAACAATTTAGATATAAGAAAATATGACGCACCTTTCGATAGATTCTGTCAAGAACATTGTATTATTCACCAAACTTTGCGCCTTATATACCTCAGCAAAATGGGATTACTGAACGTAAAAATAAAACATTAAAAGAGAAAATGAATGTCATGTTGATTAGTTCGGGATTACCTAAGAACTTGTGGGGGGGGGGTAGCTTTGCTTTCAGCAAACTATATTTTAAATAAATTACCCCATAAGAAGTTAGATAAAATCTCTTATGAATTATGAAAATGTCGGAGTCTTTCCTACAAATATTTAAAAGTGTGGGGGTATTTGGCTAATGTGATGTTTCTTATTCCCAAAAGGAGTAAAATAAGACCTAAGGCTATTAATTGTATATTTATTAGTTATACAATAAATAGCATTGCATATCGTTTTCTTATACATAAATTTGATATTATTGATATACATGTCAATACAATCATTGAGTCAAGAAATGCATCATTCTTTAAAAATGTATTTCCTAGTAAAAATGCATATGATGAGAGTTCTCTTAAAACAACTCATGATACTGCGATTAGTAATATAGATCATGAGTCTATAGATGAAAAAAGTGAAAAGGCACTTAGACTCAATAAGAGGGCATGGACTTCCAAGTCCTATGGTTATGATTTTCTAACATATTTGTTATAAAATGAGCCTTAAAACTTCAATGAAACGATGTCCACTCCTAAAGCATTTATATGGAAAGAAGCTGTAAACAATGAAATTAAATCCATCATGCAAAATCACACCTAGGAGTTGGTAGATCTTTCTCCAGGGAGTAAATCAATGGGGTGTAATTGGATTTTCAAGAGGAAAATAAAAACTGATGGATCAATTGATAAGTAAAAGGCTAGACTTGTAGCTAAATGTTATAAACAAAATGAAGGTCTTGATTACTTTAATACATATTCCCTTGTCACGAGAATAATATCTATTCGTATGTTAATGGCTATTGCAGCGTTGCATAATCTTGAGATGCACTAAATGGATATCTTAAATGATGACTTAAATGAGAAAATTTATATGGACCAATCCAAATGGTTTGTTCCTCTGAGATGAGAAGAAGGTGTGTAGACTTGTTAAATCACTTTATGAGTTAAAGAAAACACCAAAATAATGGCATGAGAAATTTGACAAGGTAATGATGTCAAATATTTTCACAATCAATAAATGGTTTTTTAAGCAGGTACGGGGATGAAGACTATACCCCCCGCTCCCGCTTCGGTCCATTGACATCCCTAGATAAATGTGTCTATGTCAAAGACACAAATAATGGATATACCAATGGGCCTTTGGTCCAATGGTACTCCTTGCCTTGTGAAGGTTTTGCCTTCTTGAGGTCAAGGGTTCAAGTCCCCTTTCTCCCTCCCTCCCAAAAAAAAAAATAATAATGGATATGTCAGTGTTTGTCAATATGTGGATGATATGCTTATTTTAAGTAGTAATAATAATATTATTAACCTTACCACATACTGATCGATCATACATTTATTCAATCGATCAATATGTAATAATCGATCATTCATTTCGTTGACTACGGGTATGTTAACCTCATATTTATCCACTTTTGTTGTAAGCATACTTTTAATTTTGTACTTATTCCCATTATTATTGTACATTTCTTATTGATGTAGTAACTACTCCATTGTCTTTGTAGTTGGTTTCACTGATGTTCAAAATTTCTCTTTTGTTGTAATTATACCATTAATTTTGTACTTTTACCCACTAATGTCGTTAACGTCACAATGATTTTGTAAAAACACCTTATTGAGCCATTATGATTGATCATTCATATTCTTGGTCAAATTATATATTTATTTTTTAAAAAAAAGATTCCTTTTTTTTACAGCACACCTTACCACATATTGATCGATCATATATTTATTCGATTAATCAAAATGTAATGATCGATCATATATTAAGTTGATCGATCCATTACGTTGACTATGAGTATATTACTTTCGTAAATTTATCCATTTTTGATGTAAATATAAATTTAATTTTGTACCTATTCCAATTACTGTTGTACATTTCTTACTGACGTAGTAAATACTCCATTTCCTTTGTAGTTGGTTCCATTGATGTTCAAAATTTCTCACTCTTCTTGTAATTATACCATTAATTTTGTACTTTTACTCACTAATATCGTTAACCTTGCAATGATTTTGTAAAAACACCTTATTGATCCATTATGATCGATCATTCATATTTGTGATCGGTTAAATTATATATTTATTTATTTTTTCCAAAATTTCATTTTTTACACAATACCTTACCACATAATGATCGATCACATATTAAATTGATTGATCATCCATTACATTGACTACGATTATGTTATCTTCGTAAATTTGTTCACTTCTGTTGTAAATATATCTTTATTTTTGTACTTATCTCATTAATTTTTTTATTTCTTACTGATATCGTAAATATCCCATTACCGTTCTACATGGTTCCACTGATTTTGTAAGAATACTATTATCTTTGTTATTGTACCCATTATTGTTGTAAATCTTGAAAGTAATATTGTAAATATTCCAATATCTTTGTAACTTACTCATTGTAGTGGTACATCTTGCATCCATTTGTACATTGTAAGTGAGCAACATGTCAATCTAGTTTTTTCGCTTTTGCTTTACACGTGTTCATTTTTACATTACTTTGCAATGTTTTTTTCAACTTTTTGCAGCCAAATATTTTTGGTACCATACCAAAAATCCAAAGGGATGTATTGTAGTCTAGTCAATAGTTACAATAGTACAAAAATAATGTTATCAACTTTAGGTAAAAAAACCGTAGAAAAATAAATAGTTATAAGTTTTTGAAATTTGAGATAATATTTATTAAAAATGTTAAAATCTTGGATGTTATTAATAATAATTATATTTGTTTAAAGTTTTAAATTAAGATTTTACAATAGTTGTAGCACGATTTCCGTTATATAAAAATTTGATTAATGCTGCTGACCAAATTTTGTGGGCGGCAGACACAAAATTCGATTTGAGTAATGCTACTGACCAAATTTTGAGCCCCGCTACAGCTGAAAAGTAAAGATAGCACTTTGAAGTGTCAAATCTATAGAAATGTAAAAATAAAATTATTAGAGTTATTTTTAAAGGGTTAGTAACATCAATTCACAGACATGTCTATTCCCATTATCATCATTGATTGTGCAATATTTGTCACTGTTGAAATAATATTTTGAAATAATTTTTGTTTAGCTATATATTAATCCGGATAAGCAGCAATGGGTGCATGTCTTTCTGGCTTTGATAGAAGACTTGCAGCTATCGGTCTGCAGATCATTTCTCAGAGCAAAAAAACGATGGCGTCCGGAGGTGATGAACTGAACATCATCTTTGTTCCCTACTTGTCCCCAGGACACATGATACCCATGATAGACGTTGCAAGACTATTCGCCGCTCATGGCGTTATCGCCACCATAATCACCACCCCATCCAACTCCCTCCTCTTCCAAAACTCCATTGATCATGACATAAATTCCGGCCACAAGATAAGCATCCATCAAATTCAATTCCCTCATGCCGAAGTCGGTCTCCCTGTTGGGATCGAAAACTTCAGCACCCTCACTTCACCGGACATGGCCCCCAAACTTTTCTATGCCGTTTCTATGCTCCAACAATCGATCGAGCAGGTAATTTTGGACCGGAAACCTGACTGCATCGTCTCTGACATGTTCTTCCCGTGGACATTACAAGTAGCCAGACAACTCGGTATTCCAAGATTCGTATTCCATGGTTCAAGCTACTTTGCTCAGTGTGCAGAGCATAGCGTCGAGCAGCATAAGCCTTACTTAAATGTGGAGTCGGACATGGAGACTTTCTTGCTACCAGAGTTGCCGCATAAGATAGAGATGATGAAGCTTCAATTAATGGATTTCATGACACCCGCAGACGAATTTTCAAAGTTCATGAACCTTATTAAAGAAACTGACAAGAAAAGCTATGGCACCATCACAAATAGCTTCTACGAGCTTGAGCATGATTATGAGGAATACTACAAGAGAGTCATGGGCATGAAATCCTGGAGCATGGGACCCGTTTCGCGTGTTGTGAACAGAGATGCATCGAAGAAGGCACAGAGAGGTAACAAGTCCGCCGTTGGAGAACAAGATTGTATAACTTGGCTAAATTTCAAAGAACACAATTCAGTATTGTATATTTGTTTTGGGAGCTTGACGAAGCTCTCTGGTGCCCAACTTCTTGAAATAGCGGCAGGTTTGGAAGCGTCTGGCCACCAATTCATGTGGGTCATTCGAAAGAGAGAGAATGATGAAGATCCATGGCTGCCAGAGGGTTTTGAAGAGAGGATGAGAGAGAGCAAGAAAGGATTTATTATAAAGGGGTGGGCTCCTCAACTCCTAATCTTGGACCACCCTGCGATTGGAGGAATGGTTACACACTGTGGGTGGAACTCTATTCTTGAAGGGTTGAACGCGGGTTTGCCTTTGATCACATGGCCGTTATTTGCAGAGCAGTTTTATAATGAAAAGTTGGTAACTAAGGTGCTAAGGATTGGTGTTTCAGTAGGAGTGACAGAATGGACTACCTCGTATGATGGGCAGAAAGGGCTGGTGAGGAGAGAGGAGGTGGAGAAAGCAGTGGCTTTGATGATGGGTGGCGGAAGAGAAGCGATGGAGATAAGGAAACAAGCGAAGGAGCTCGGTGCTGCAGCGAAGAAGGCTGTGGAGAATGGTGGCTCATCTGAGGCCAATTTGATTGCTTTGATCAATGAACTTAAAACAGTGAAACAAGGAGCCACAGCCCGAGATAAGTTCAATGGAGAATAAAAATTGCTCCCATTTATTAATAATTAGTTGTTGACCACTCGAATAATTTTAAACTTTAACTTAAGAGTAATGTTACATGAATTTAAAAAATAGACTTAAAGACTAGATTTGATAATCTTAACCATTGATTTCACTGTGAGTCCCAACATCTATTCGGATCCACTATTTAGTCAATGACTGAGATTATCAAGTCTAATTTTTAAGTTTATTTTTTAAGTTCATATAGCATTACTCTTAATTTAAATTCTAATTATTTGTTGTTATTAATTTTTGTATTTGTTCAAGATTGGAGCCATTGGAGAGCCAGATCAGATGGCTATGGCTGGTGTCAATTCTCAGTTGTATTCTCTTTTCAGTTGCCTACACTCTTATCTCCCATATTCTTTCTCCTTCTATCAGGTTTTACTTGTTAAAGGGTTTCTCTTGAGCTTAAGTGAGCAGTCTAATCCTTTGCCGTTATCTTGTTCTTGTTTAACCTCAAAAAAGGTTAAATTACTCAAAAGAATCAAAGAGCCAAAAAAGGCAAAAAAAAAGGTTAAATGGTGAATGTAAAAAATGAAGGAATAGTGCTCTAACAAAAAAAGGCAATTGTTTAGATGAGTTTTATGAACAAAGAAAAATAGAGGTAAAATTACTGTAAAATTGGGTTACAAATGCAATTTATATTATGGCACTCTATGAAATTAATATTTGCCATCACAATTTATTTATAGTCATTGCATAATAAAATAAATATGAGAATAAATCGGTAGTGACATTGTTGCGAACCAATTTTTATGACCCAAACTAATTTTTTTAATGATGATATTGTATGAAAGTTGATTTTTATAGGTTTTAATGATAACTTGATGACTAAGTTCATCGAGTAAAATTCTCGAGCTTGTCATTCTTGGACCCCCCCAATATAAAATCTTAATTCCATCCCTAGTGGAGACCATCTACTCTACGCATTTGTTTTTAAAACATTACTCTTGTGTGACCATATGAGGGTCTAGTGGTATAATTAATAGACAAACATTTACTTACATCTCTTCCTGCTCCAAACCAAACATATGGAGTCCAATCAAAATACTTTTTCTGACTAATTCTTTCTCACATTTTTCATTTCTCTTATCTAATGAAGCCTAAATCGAAAGTTCCATTTGAGTATTATTATCATAAGTTTTTTATAAACCTTGATTTTTCCCCTAATTTATATTCTTATTGGACTTCTCTCTCTCTCTGCTCTGTCTCTGTCTCTCTCCCTCTCTCTATCTTATCAAAGAAGTAACACAATGGTGTAATTGGATTTCTAAGATGATTTTCCAATACTAACCAAAATATTTTCTCTATATTTTCTGCAGCATCAAAAGTTCATTGCATAACCATTTATAATCAGAATGATGTACACTAATTCTAGTTAAACTTTGGAAATCCAAAAAAAAAAACTGAATCGGTTCTGGGAAATAAGAAAATGATTCCTTCTTAAGTTTATCAGCACTATTGGACATTTCACATTTTGAAAAATTACTCTTAGTGTTTGACACTTCATCTTAAATTTTATAGACCCACTGCAAGAAAGGGTTCATTGAAGCAAATCATCAACCAAAGGTTTTTAAGCAATAGTAAGAAACTCGGCACTTGAACAAGAACAATGTTATAGAGATTTAATTTGATGACTGAATGATGTGGTTTCAATAAAATTATTGTATTAATTCTAAGTTCTAATGTTAGATGGAGTCTAGTCTACTACCGATCCAATGATTGTATTGAATAAGGGATTAGGTCCAAATAACATTCTCTCTTGAACAAAGAAGTTGATTCAAGAAGTGGTGACAATATATAACTCAACTGAAAAAATAGGTTTCTTTGTGGCATTATCCTCAAGTTTCAAACAAACTCCAAATGAGACGTGGTTCAAGCAAGTAAAAGAAGTACAATACATACCCTTAGCAATAAGACGAATTTTATCAAAAACGTCGGCCACAGTTAACAGAGTGCTTCTAAAAAAAAAGTAGACAGAATGCTTGGGATTAATGTCAACTATTTGGGATCGATAACAAGCATCCTCGAATGTTGTCGACGTTTGAATATAAATTAAATGAATTGAATGTGAATTTGATGATATTAATTGAATGTTAATTTAGATGTTAATTTGATAAACTAATGTTAATTGGATGCTCTGGAAGTGCCTTCTTTAATTTGATTATTATACCAGTCCGAAGTGCTTTAAGGCCTCTTGACCACTATTATTAGTAATGTTATTTGGATTTAAAAATTTGATCTTGTTTACTAACTTGACGATGTGATTTCATTGAAATTATTTGGTGAAAAGTAAATTCTAATATTTCATGAAACTCACAATTAATTCAAGGATTATAACGAATCAAACTAAAAAATAATGTTAAAATTTTAAATTCTAATAATACTACCCCATGAATTATATTGGTGGAGTCATATAAGGGATGAATGTGTTTAAGAAATGGAAAACAAAGCAAGAAAATAAAAGTACACATAAAAATGAAGCTCTATTATCATTTCTCTTTAATTCTCCTCAATACAATGTTAGACGAGTGACACATGTAAGATTTTAAATTTTAATGGACAAGATTTTTTTCTTGTGAAAAAATTTCTTATAATGGTTAACACTCCACCAACAACAAAATGAATAAGGAAATATTTTATCTATTGAAATTCAAAATCTTATACATGTCACTCATTTAACATCGTATTAAGAAGAATTAAAGGGAAAGTATAATGAAAGAGATCTAAATACAGTGTTAAATGAGTGATAAGTATAAGATTTTAAATTTCAACGACAAAATCTAGTGTCAAATGAAGTTTCTATGACATGTTTAATACTTGGGCCGCCAAGATCTTCGCTGCGCTGTTAAACCATCCAGGTTGCTCGCGGACACCTCAAGTTGATTTTACCTCGACTCGAGTTCTCTCATTTTATAAAATAGGTTGAAAAGCATTTAAATTTTTATCTTACATACATTTTTAAAGATATTTTTGTAAAAATATTTAAAATCTTATTTAAATCTTTATGCTATCGCACCAGCCGCCCACTCCACTCACACATCACCATCATCTCACTTTCTCTTTCTCTTCCTGATAAAAGAGCATGGAGGAAGACATCCTAGCCTTCATGGCTAACCCACTGAAGTGCCCTATTTTCTTTACTCGGTCTGGTGCTATTTTTGTAGCATGATAGAGACAGGGATAAAGCTTGAATCTTATAGTATGGGATGGGGCCCTCTAAAGTAAACAACAATTAGCTGCATAATATGTTAGTATATATGATTTAAAATTAAATTTATTGTCATATTAATAATTTAAGGCTTTCGGCCCGTATTTATTTTCCATTTCGTGACTTTAAATATTTTTATTTTAATTAGTGGAATTCTTTAGAGAGAGTTATTTGTAATAACTACATATATAATTTTTTTTGGAAATGAGAAAATTTCATGATCTGTCCTCAGCGAGTAGAGGCGCATTTATGTCGCTCAGACTCGTAACTCTAAGTAGAACCAAACAGATCCCTCAACTCATATACCAGTTCATTCAGGACTTTCGTTTCGCCGGAACTCAAGACTCACACTAGAGACTTAACTACATATATTATACCACTTCATTACCCATTAAAACATATTTTAGTCATTTACTACCATTATATCTATACTACTAATAAAATAATCTTAAGTGAAAAATTTTTGATTCTCTATTTTGTCCTTACAAATAATTTTAATTATCACATTATGTTTCCATAGTTAAATATTTAAATTACAATCACGTTCTTAGTATTTAAATCTCTAATTTATTCACTTAAATTTCTTTTACTTTTCTATTATCTTTGTATAAATATAAATATCTATAAAAAAAATTAATTGACTACGTTACTCTTAAAAAAATATATGCATCATTATAGTTTTCAATAAAGTGTTCAAAAACTTCATCAATAAATAATACTTTTTTCAAATATATGATTTACACAATTTACTTGACTGTACTTAATAATGTGAGAATATTTTGGTACACAATTGTTAGGCCAAACAAGATGGTACCATTATTAAGCCCTAGGTTTCTTATTGTTGGCGTAAATATCTTTTTTTGTTTGTAAAGATTTATGCTTTTCTTTTTTAATATAATATTGTTAATTTGGAAGCAATGAATATTTTTATTGCAAATTTTATGATGATGATCCTATACAAGGTTGAGGAATTTAAACAAGAAAATATATTTTGTTTCATTCGTACCAAAATTTCTGATTTGCTACCAATGCACTTCACTCAATGTTCTAATTATTTATTTTGTGGCCTGCTATTGGCCGTTTGTTCTTTCAGATTCAGTGTAAACTTGTTGCATTTTACAAGATGGATGGAAGGGTTACATCCATTTAGGAAGAATGCTATAAACTTTGTTTCGTATGCGAAATTTATTAGTTTCATGTTATCAAAAGGTTTACGAAGTTCTCCATCTCTCGCAAAGGAGAAACATACACTACACAAGACTAATTAGATGACACCAATTTCTTTATTTAGATTACAATTGAAACTAAATGTTTCAACCTGTCTCTCTCTCCCTCCCCCTCCCCCCCCCCCCCCCCCCCCCGGAAAAAAAAAACAAAACCAAAAAGGGTAATTGAACCTCCAGTTATAATATCCCAGTGAGTATCCAATGATGGGTAATAATTCATTTTGAGCTATATTTGGTGTTACCATGGATCAATTGTGGATTCACACACATTCAAAAGATAACAAAGTTACTACTGAAAGTAATATGCATGCATTTGATGGTGGTACCAGCACATGATCGACTTGGATAAGCTCCTGCATCTGGTGAATATTGAATCACGGTTATTCTTATACCAATAATAAGGAAATATTTATGTGGAAGCATTGAACTAGCCCTTGTAGACTACGTTTAAGGCTTTGGAGATTAAAACAGGGCTGAGGGTTGTTTTATGAGTAGTCCCCCTTTTTCTTGTATTTACACCTCCAAAGTTATACACCAGAAAGATGAATGGATACCACTGCATGCATATGTCAATTAAAGAAGTTTATTTTGAAATCTGTCTTCAAACTCATCTTCTCTTTTGATTAGTAAAATGCTCTCTATGTTTTTATCAATGAATGTTGAATTCTCTTATTGTAGTT